GTAAATACTTTTCGTTTTTCACTCAACCTAAAGACTGATTAAGTCAATTTTATTCGATTAATACAAGGACTTAGGACTGGTTAATACATTTTTTATAACTTCGACACCTAGTCGACCTACAACGTTTTTGGCAAAAAATAGGCTTTTGAAAAACTACCATCAATTTATTGAAAATACTTAGCTTATAATATTTTATAATTTATTTTAATTAAATTATGTAGTTTCTTTTTAAATGTATTTATTGTATTTATAGGTATCATTAATTTGGCAATTAGATACTCATTAAAGCAGATTTATTTTGTATTTTAATATAATTTTGAAAGTATTGAACTGATTTCCGATTTATTCTTACACTTTTATAGTTTTATTGCTCTAGCTTTTTAAGAAATGTATGAACAATGTAAATGTATAAAAAAAAAAAATTGTAAAAACAAACATTTTGTTGAAACAATTATAATTAATAAATGAAAAAAAAAATAGTTTTATTATTGTTTATGTTGGAATGTATGAGTGTGTATAAAAATATCTATTGATATTTCTTGAAAACAATTTCATATACCTACTCGCTTCAGGTTTATTGAATTTGTATTTTGTACAAATTATATTTACTAACGGCATGTCGGTGTATATCCATATTAGTTATGGGTATATTATTGTAAGTTATGAAAAAAAAAAATAGTCAATATTAATCTATACATTTTTGTTTTATTCATACAATTATTGACATCTTTTAAATACAGCAGCTTTTGGCCGACGATCGTTTCGGGAAACCGGAAAAATCTTTGGGTAGAAACTCCGGTGTGAAATCAGAAAATATCCATTCCCGCCTTACAGACATACTGCACGACAACAAAAGGATTTGCAGACCAGGACGCCGAGTCTGCAGAGGAGTTTTCGTTGGGCCGCGACGACGGTGCAGTGCACTACAATGTACGACGGACTGCAGTTCAGCTGGCGGCAACCTCACGATGGAGCAAGAGGATGTGGTGCTCGACGGCGATGACTGCGGCATGCAGGAGCAGGATCAGGAGCAGCTATAGAGGACGAGTCTGAAAATCAGACTTTTCCGAAGGACTACCATAATCGCCTAAAATGCTGCCCACGTTTAAGAGTTAGTATATAAATTGATAAAATAAACATATGGTGTAAATGTCAAGGGTCTGCAGTTATTCGTTTTTTAATTATAACAAAAAAAGAAAATCTCTACATGAGTAATCAAGGGAATATCTAATGTTGTAAAAATGTCTACTTCAAACGCTCATAAAAATTTAATTTGACCAGAATTTTTTTTTTTTGTTAAAGATAGACAAACTTATAAGGAATCTTGTATTGAATTTTAATATTTTAGATATAAAAAGACAATTTTTTATGAACTTTTAACCCAAAATAATTTGGAAATGTTCGTGATTTTTACGAATTCTGTCAAAATTCTCTAGATTCACTATCTGTCTATCCTACCAGAAAAGATGCCGTTGAAGAAAATCGAAGCACTTTTACTGTCCCAAAACGGCAAAACGTGATGACAGACACATAAATAAAATATACAAAAATAAAAAAACACACATCATTGTAAAATCGATACACTCATCATTCAACTCAGAATCTAAAACCCACTTCATTGTTAAATCAACACTTTCATCGTTCACTTAGAGTCTAAAAATATTACATCATGATAAAATCAATTTATGTACCTATTCTTCACTCCACTCAGAGTCTAAGAGTTTTAGTCATAATCACTCAACTCAGTCCCTGAAACACACATCATTGCAGGTAAATCAACACATTCACCGTTCGCTTAGAATCTAAAAATATTACATCATGGTAAAATCAATGTATGTAGGTATTCTTCTCTCCACTCAAAATCTAAGAGTTTTAGTAGGAGGTTGGTGTGTCAAATTTTTCATGCATATTGCAATACATGTAATCAAAATCTAAGAGTTTTAGTCATAATCAAACTTTTACTTATGGAATAGCTACAAAAATTAAATGAATCATAAACAGAAAGCGTCGTTGATCATTTAGAAACACACCGAATGTGAAATGTGAATATTATTTATATCCGGTAACTGTGGTCTGTGGCAGTGTGGCTGTAATTTGTATGCCCTCATATCGGTCATATCGATGTGTCGACAATTATCTATTTATAAATAAAATTAATAAATGGAAAATTAATCTAGCAGACCAACCTCAAGTGCTTCTAGGAAATCTGTACATAATTTTATGGCAAAAATGGAAGATAAATTTAATTCCAACAATGATAATGTGATAAGGATAACATTGATTGTAATTGTTGGTATTTAGAAATCACTTATTTTAGTATGATTTCGTTGTTCAATTACCAAACTAACTTATTACCCAACAACCCACACTCCCACCCCAGAAAAATAAAAATAATTATTAATAAAAGTAGATATTATATTATAATATAATATATATGCGGAACTTGATTAGGCTAGGTCTGGAGATAGAAATCCCTCCCCTGGCCCCCCCACGAAAAAAATTTCTAGGCACGCCTCTACCTAAGGTTAGTCTAACATCGAAATAAATAAATCAGTAAGTGCAGTGCAGTTCGACTGAATTACTACATTTCTAAATATTAGTTAACAATTAACTCTATACATTTAATTAATACGAATATAAAATAACGTAATTTTTATTGTTGACAAGCGAATTGCAGTTAGGATCATAAAATTATTTGTTTAAAAATAAAACAGTTTAATGACTCATAATAAATAATGCCATATTAATATGCTGAATAGCCGAAACTCAATACAAAATTTATACTAAATAAGTTGAAAATACAGTAATTTTCTGATAAATCACAACCGATAACATTGAATGGTTACCACTTCGGAAGTTCGCAACCGGCCTAAGTCCTAACTCCTAAAGTCCTAAGTATGTAGGTAACGGTAAGTCGGTACCTGTTAATCCTAAACGGTTAAAGTAATAAAAAACTTAAGCCACCCAATTCGTTAAAATGTTTAATGAATGAATGAATGAATAAATTAATGCAATAAATGGTAAGACATGATATCTGTTTATGAATCCAAACGTTTACTAACCCATATGCTACAAAGTACAAACTAACAAATCATCTGATATTTTGTTTTATAATAAATTATGTATTATTAATGCTTATAACATTATTTTTATGCATGTACCTGCCTAATCAGGTTGCTTAAAATGCATTATATAATAATTTTACTATTAAAATATAGGATTAATGACATCAATAATATAATAATTTTTTATAAAACTGTATCATTCCAACTTATCTATGATTAATGTCTCATTATTCATTTTCGTATAATTCATGTTGACCACCAAATTATTTAAAACTGCATAGGTACTTAAAAATTACATGAATATAAAATATGTTATGACATTTCAATTATTAAATAGGAAAACCTTTGTGAATATATATTAACACAAATCATCAAATAAAATTATTTAGCAAGACTAAAATTAAAAAAAAATTATCGGACATTTATTAAAAATCAATTATATTGTACTTGGATAACAATATTTTTCATTTGGCGAACTATAATATTATACTGAATTTGTATAATTTTATGCAATATAATATGTGTCTAATCTATATTATCAATTAAGCGTTATGCCTAATAAGTGAATTATAAGTCATAACATAACAAAAATATAATAATAAATTATAATTGAGTTCATATAAATTACAAATACATACTGTAGATTAGTTATCAATCAAATTTCAAATTTATTATGATTTATGACAAATATTATATCCATTAATCCATTAACATTGTTAAATTAACACAATAAAAACCAAATAGGTACATGGGTAAGCGTATGTACATTGTACTCTTTTGGGATTGAATTTTTAGCAAAATATCAAAAACAACAATATACTTTGAATGAATTATAATTATTTCTCTTTTGTAGTTTTATCTAATTTGGCATATAAATTGTTTATAATTTTAAAATTAAAATACAGGTGTTCATTAAATCGACAAATGAAAGTCTTACAGTTGAATTTATTTAAGAGATGCACGGGTTTTGATAACTATTAATAACTATTATTACTTCTTTGCAGAACAGAGTTTTAGAGTTCAAACATGAAGACATTTTTCAATAGTTAAAATACAAATTCACTATCCGTATATTACAAGGATGTTCGGCCACTATTTGTTTGCGTCTCTTCTCTGATCTGCAGTGCACCGCAACATCGCAAATTTGCGTTCGGCAAAACCATCTCGTGTTGTTCGATTTATTATCAAAGTAAATTTGAGAACACTACTTGAATTTGTACGTTGGTTATATTGTGGCAATAATATCCAATTGTTTCTGCCATGTATGAGCATTTTCAAAACTGTTTGGGCTTACACACACATGCATGACAATTATTAAAACATCTTAAACAATGCAACAAAATTAAACAAAAGATAATGTTTATACCTTGAAGTTTGATAATAAGTCAATTCACTCTAATATTAAAGGCAAAAACACTATAGTGCTGTACTCCTGAATGCAAATAATATGCAGTGCTGCACGTGGGTTAGAGAGAGAGAAAACAAATGGTGCTCTAATATCCTCATGTTTTAAATTTCAACCATGCTACGAAACGTTTTACAACAAACGCATACGGTTATGAATTTTAAACTTGTAATGTAATCATCCGTAAGACAACGTATGGCATATGTTATTAGGACACCTTTATAAATTATAAACTATACGCAAATAATATAAATAAGCATTTATGCAGGTCTAAACGAGTGTAAAAAAGAAAAACAATGTATGATTTGTACATAATATATATAGACTCAACAAAATATTATTTTTTTTTTTTTAACACAATACAATCAAAGTTCACGTTTTAAAAGGTAATAAACATTATAACTAATCCGATACATGTAAAATATCAAATAGTCAAAAAACATAAAAAATATAAACATGTATATAATATACATACATATTATAATATAATATAGGTAAAGTAATAAAAAAAAATAAAAATAACATTCTGGTAAACTCAAAGTATTATTGCCATTCTTGTATCACTTTATGCAATAAAATAAATACAAATCGGCAATTTTTATTTTCAATCATACATCAATACGTTTAAATATTATAATTTATACATTAGGCAAAATGAGGATATGTGCATGAAAAAGCATGGGCTAAAAATAAATAAATAAATATCATATCGTTGAGAGGTAAAAAGAATTTCACATCTACAGTCTTTAGACCTGAGAGAAAAAATATAATAATTAAGTGGTTATACTCAACCGCGATTATCATGTACTTGTCAGTCTCTTCAACTTATCAGATTTTTAACAAAAATAGTTATAAGTATATAATTAATAATTAAAAGAAAATTATCATAGTAAAAATATATTATTTTTTAACTATAGTCTTGAGAGTCAAATGTTCGTATATAGTAATATTATTTTAAGTTATAATTATTTTAATATAAAATCAAAAGGTCATTTCCACCTCACTTTTAAAATATCACATGCGTAAAAATTTTAATTTAGAAAGACAGGAGAAATTAAAATTTTTTGAAAAAAATTTGTTCATTTACGCGCGATGAGATCATTCTATCCAGAAATAAATTTAGAGCTTTTGAAATACTGCAAACTTATACATAATAATAACACGTAATGTATGGCATTTAAGTTTTAAGCGTATTAATATTAAAAGGTGGTTTACATATTATTATAGATAATTAAACACGAAATATAGGTATTGATTTTTACATTGTTTTTTCCGAAAAAAAAAATACATTTTATAGACTTTTAATAGTGAATGTATAACATGTATCTAAATTTTTGTTTGAGTTTTTAACAAAATAACGATGATAAAAATAGGTATTTCTCATTTTTACACATAACAAATTATATTTTAATATGTCTTACAACATTGAGAGAAAACGAGTGAATCCTTTAGTTTATCATTAGGTTTTGTTTTTTTTTAGTTTTTTCTGCCCTGTTCCTCACTGGTCAAACATCGCGTGGTAGTAATTATTAATGCACCTACCCATAAACTTTTGTATCGCGAGTGTTCGAAATATGCAAAACAATCTCTCGAAACCTTCCAAGAATTTTCAGTCTTATTACGATTACACATTTTATTGGAGTAAAAGTAACTGCCAAGTTGGGAATCATTACACACCAACTACCAACACAACACATACGATGGTCTAAAAAATGTCAAACTAAACACCACCACGCGAGAGACTATATGGAATCGATTCGATTCGGGTTGGACATGGCGAAAACAATATAAAAGTGAACAAAAAAAAAAAAAAAAACAATACGAAACATTTATGTCACACCGTTGACGGAAGAAAAAAAGGAGGGTGGGGTAGGGGACTAGAAGATTTTTTTTTGACGTCGTTTTTGTCCCGTAAAATCTCGTGCGTACAAATATTTTATATTAATAAATATTATACAAAAATTGACGCGAACGATAGCATGAAATATTATGTATACAAACAAGTTTATACAATTTGAGAGGGACCGAGACGCGGAAAAAAAAACATTTAGGCACAGAGATTTGTCGTCGTCTTCTTCTTGTCAACCGTCGTGATCTTAAGTACCGGGTTCCGGGTCGGGGGCGGACCACCGTCTCTTGTTCCTGCTGATCTTGTCGTCTTCCGCGGACTGTTGCTGCAGCTGCAGCTGAGCTTTTTGTACAGCAGCCGAATGGTGCTGATGGAGATGATGTAGGTTTTGTTGCTGATGATTGTGGTGCTGTTGCTGTTGCTGCTGCTGCTGCTGTTGTACGGCCACAGAGGCGTTGTGCTGCTGCCGTCGTTTTCCGTGCGGTGGCGTTGCCGGGGTCGTGGTCGTTGTCGAGTCCGAGGCTACCGCCGACGACCGTTTCGTCAGAGACACGCACACGTCGCCCACCTGCAGCCGCTGGCACGCCAGTCCATACTTGGCCAGCGTCTTGGCCGGGCTCCACGACGCCCAGCCCCGGCCAAACACGAAGTACGGGTGTTCTGCGCCGCTCTCCATTTCCACCTGATGCGACTTGGACGCCGCAGCCGCAACGGCCGCCGCGGAACTCATCTTTTTGTTGTCGCTGCCGATCTAAAAACAAAAATACCATTATTAATCAAACGTGCCTTCGACAACCGTTTACATGTATTATTATCACTGTTATTATTATCGTTATATTTTTTTTGTTGGCGAGGCGAGTAGTACTATGTATATACAAGCAGCTCCAACACGCTCTAGCCCACGAAGCGATTCGTTTTCCTTAACGCGAAACCATCTCGACAACAACTCAGACGCGAATAATATTATTCAAATCTGTACCTACGTTCAATATTGACTATTGTATAAGCGGAGATATTCGAGCGACGCACACGTTTAGATACGATATTATAATATACTCGTACAAAAATAATAATACAATGTATCGACGGCATCTACTATAATATAATATTGTATTTTGAATAATACGCATGTGACAGACAATGCTGTGTTTGTTTGTGTGTGTGTGTGTGGAGGGGATGGGGAACAATGCGCGACAACAACAACCACTCCCACGGATGTTTATAATTGTAATTTGTGGCACGCAATGCGGGGCACCACCACCACCACCACCACCACAAAGAAATGAAGGATGTCATCACATGTGACGTTACGGCGGCGAGACGGGATGACAACGCGTACGCCTCCCCAACACGTTCCGTCGTTTCGGTAACTCGCGGATAAGCCGAACACGGCGCCGCGAAGATTATAATAATGTGATGCGGGGACGCCCTTGACGAAACAACCAACTAGTAGGTTTACGATAATATATAACACTGTCGCCGACTGCAGCAGAGTGGCTGCGCAGCGCTCTAACGATACCAATTTATTACACAGACGGCGGGCCCAGACGGATGGAAAAAATAATAATAACAAAAACCGATTATGTAAATTTTATAGGAAGAAACGCGAACGCGGCCGGTGTGCGTGTGTGCAGTGTGCGTGCGACGAAGAAAGAGTACACATGAATTATGTAGGTATATACATACGCACACACGCGTGTTTCTTCGTCCTCGAACAAGGCCAACTCTCCGAACAGGATTTGTACTTCTTTTATTTATTTATTATTATTTTTTTGGCAATAACCATGGGCGTGTACGCGTGCGCGCGTGTATGTGTAATACTATGTGGCGGCGGCCGCCGTCTCTATCGCGCGTCGTCGGTCAGTGGTCGGGAGTGCAACAGGTCAACAAACTCGGCGCGCGAGCAAGATGTCGATGACGGAGCCGGAGAGATGGTGGTCGTCGGCGACGGAAAATAGCATTATTCTATCATATTATATACGTGACGTGTGTGTATTTTTTTCGTCCGACTACGAAGACTTCGAAAAGATGAATACACGAGGAGCGGAGTTACCTGGAGCGCGTTGAAGAGGCGATCAATCGGTCGGTAGTGGCGAGGAAACGGACGGGCAGGTGAGAGGGAACGACGACGGAGTGGCGGGGACGGGAGACCGATATAATAATAATATTATAAGCCTACTACAACGACTACGTTAGCCTACATAGTAATGACCCTGCCTTGCCTCAAGGACGAAATTCCCCCACCGCCGCGAGCAATCACCGCTTGACGATGTCTGCTTGTGCGCGCGATGTGCACTATGAGTACCCACCATGTGTTGGGTTACGTCGAACAAACGCGAATTTATAAAAAATAATATGTGTACACGAGCGCGCACGCTCTCCGATATTCCATACACTTTTCCAAATGTTCGTACAACAGCGTTCCCGTGTATTGAATCGCGAACGACGCGTCGGAGAAACGCCGACGACGTCGCATGCGACTGCGCTGCGATTTCGGACACGGCCTCGGCCGGATTATATGCCGCCACATAGGTTCACTCCTGCCCACAGCTCGTTTCGATTTCATAATAATAATAAAATAACTAATGATATTGGTTTCGATGTTACAATATTATAATAATATTATCACGCAGATCACGGCAACGTTTTTTTTTATAATATTAATGTTTTCTTACGATAACCCAACAGCGTGTCCAAATAACGTAATGACCGTCGATCGTGATTCAACCCCGACGACAATAAAATGTAAAAGTTGAAAACTTGTGACCATCACACGAATATTAAATTGTGTGGCTGACTATAGGTGCATAAAAAAAAGGCCAAACTCAAATCTTGAAATTTTACACAGAGAAAAAGACACATCTTAAATCCCACGTGGTTTTGAAATCAATATTTGAATTACGTGTCGAAACATACTGTTATTATATAATGTATATATATTATACATATGTATCATTAAACTTAGGATAATAGTATTCGGTTTTATTGGGTTTAAAACACGTTCGGCGTTCATTCATACGTAAATTAACAACGAATAAGTAATAATAATTATTACGATTGTCGCCTAATGTAAATTATGTTGTGTACACATACATCTATAGTTTTTAAATGGAACATACGAAATAAAACCACTTCCAACACCAAGTACCGACACGTTTTATTGCTTTTCATATTTAATAACCCATTTATATTATAGAGTTTATAATGCACACACGCTATACACACAACAGCTTGTTATCAGAATGCTTACAAATCAGATTCATTGTATTTGAACTGCAGATAGTTGCTTTTAAGCACGCTTAGTTTGTTTTAAATAAAAAAAATTTACATTTTAAGACAGCTGACACAAGCGCTAATGGTAAATTGTTGTTGTATAGTACAAAGGAAAACTGCATTATGTGCATTTAACATAATATCCAGTTGGCTTGACTTCAACAACGCGCGTTATGAATCGAAAAAAAATCTAAATTTAACTCGGAAATAGTAATAGTGTGCAATATTTTAATACAATTAATAATATTGTGGTTTTCTTCGTACTGCATAAACTAAAATATTTGGGTATTAGGTGCGTAATAACACTGTGAAAACGATGTCCGCGAATTATGGCTCTATTCTAGTAAAACAGTTTACCAAACATTTACGAAACACATTAATATTATACGTTGACGCACTACCTATATAGAGGTTAACGTTAAAATGTTTATTAATTATTAAATATTATTTTATAGGTAATAAGCTAACAAGTAATAACTAATAATGAACGTGTGCGGTGAGCACTCGTGGAGTTCAGTTTGCTGATAAAACGCGAATTCGACACATAGATAGTTAATATAAATTAATTTACCAAACACGGCGTAACCGAAATAATAACAAATCGGGATACCACATTATCATATTCCGGTAATCGAAAACTCGAGTTTAAAATTACTCGAAAAATTCAACGGTCCATCGAAGGGAAACGACAGAGGAATGAAAGAAGAACCACAGCAACACGCATGCGTGGGTGCTGCTGAAGTGCTAAGAACTGGAAAAATGTATACATGCAATATGTATAATGCATAAGATGTTTTGAGAGCATATATATATTTTTTTATGAATGACGTGTGACAGCAAATTACCGATTACGCAGAAAACGTCAATGCCGAGGCCAATGTGGAGAGAGGAGGCGCGCGACTCTTTCTCTGGCGCGTATCGTAGTTTATAATGTGTTTCGATTTTCCGACGGGTCATGATTTTTTTTTTTAAATTTAATTTGATAATCGGATATTAAAATGTACACGTTTAATCTAAACATTTTTTCCCGTCTACTAACCGTCATACGATAATTCATACTGACATACTGTACATGTTTGTTCTTTTAGTTTGGATGTGCCCCGTTTATCATAATTATTTATTGAAACTTTGCATAAATATGCAGTGGGCGTTTAGAACTTCTAACGTTCCATGTACAGTTTGTGTACTACAATTATATATTATAAGTTACATAAGCTTATAAATATAGCATATATAAGAGTAAGTATGCCGTGTAAGTATGTCATATTATTGTCCGTTAAGTAGCATACTACATGCGTAGGTACAGTTTTTTGGTAGGTAGCATATTATATAACACGAGTGCCACATATTATAATGCAACAAAATGGGTTTATTAAGTATTCTACATTGTCATTAATATAATTACTAATCAGTAATCAGATTTCCATCGTTTCAGGCGGTATGAATTATTGACATTTATTGCTAATACTATTTATCATTATTATTATCGCTACATCATGCCCTTTCCGCAGTCGAATTGAAACATGAAACACAAGAAAATCATTGTAATAATAGATTTATATCTAAACAAGTCAAATTGTATAACATCCGCGGCTCACTACGCACTTAAATGTGGGTACGGATAATATTTATATAAAATATGTAACATTAATGAATATGTATGGGGTATTTCCTGGGAAAAGTATTGCGCGAGTTCTAGGTCGACATTAACATTTAATAATCAACCTAATATCACTTTTTTTATTTTCACAGTTTAAAAATTGATCAAGGTCACACATTACTTGTGTAATATTAAAATTTTTAAATAATTTTAAATATATTATTTTATGTTTATATCTAATACACAACGGTAGTAAAATGAAAATGTGGTGAAACTGCTCGACGCCTCGACAGCGATAGAAGTAGACTGTAGAGCCCTCAAGTATATATCGTATAAATATAAATATGGATGATGATTAAGATATATATATATTTGAGTAATGTTTAAAAATATTTACAAATCATCGAACAAAGCGTTGACCGGACGAGGTGGAGTATGTCACACTACGTTATTCTACGTGATTAGAAAAAGCACCCAACGTGTACAATAATAATAGTAATAATAATAATAATGACGCAAGCGCGGCGGCGACACCGGTGGCGGGTGCGCTATATCCGGTCGCCATTGAGTCACGACCACCGGGCACCGACAGCGACGTCGCGGAAATCTCGCGGGTGGTGGGTTGTATGAATGAATTCCCCTGCACAATTCATAAGCTCCGACAAACGGGGCGCATGCGCGGGCGACCCGCTGTTGCCAGGGCTCGGTCGGTCCCGCAGGGTGAACGACAAAGGGAAGCCGTCGACGGCACACGAAACTTTCGTAATCGCCGCCAAGCCACCGTGTACCGCGCATTCTCGGGGGTGGGGGAGAGGGAAAATCTAAAATTTCCAAAACTTCATGGATTTATTGCCGGCGTCCACGTTTCTCTTTGAAAA